AACATTTATGATCTTGGAAGAGATATTTATCTTCTTTGTGCTTCAGTTTCCGTATCTGTAAAATGGGGATAGGAATAATAGTGCCCACTTCATAGGTGAGGACTAAGTAAGTGAACATACGTAAAGCACTTAGAACAATGTCTGCAGCTTAGCAAAAGCAATAAAAATGTTCATTATTTATCATTCTTCTGGGACTCCCTCATCCTCCTTCAAGTAGGATCAAAATATCAAAGGAACTCAGTCTCTAGGAATTTCTCCAGACTGTATTTGCTAGGCTTAGAGGGGACACCCTGACTATGGTTCCAGGCTCCAGCCACATTCCAGCAACCAAAACTACACTGAAATTAGGAGGAAGACCAGGGAGAAAGAGATCTAAAACTTTTTCACACGGTAACTGTCATGGTAGTCAGTAATTGGTCAATCCCTGCAATGACCTAGCTGCAATTCCATTCTTTCACATGGACATACACGGTATTTGTGGTTCTAAAAATGACTGCAACAATGTCTTTCTTCCCACATATCCTTCTTACAATGTGCCTCTGCCACATTCACATTCAAGGTTAGATCTATCTCTTGCTGAAAGCATTTGGTCCCCTGGTGTGTGATGCTCCATTGGCTGTTGCTTACAGTTTTTCTTGGTAATCAAATAATTTTAAAGAAATAAATATTAGCATAATTACAATAAGTTCCAAAATTATACTGAATACAACACAGGGGAGCAGAATGCTGAGAAAGTTTAAAACTATGCCCCACATGACCATGCTGCTGGTCTTTTCCATTTCTTCTTCTTTTTTTTAAATCAACTTTCTTGAAGCCAAATATATTTTCATTCTGGTCATCTCATGAAACCCTAATGTCTATAGGCTGAGTTAGGATTTAGCTAATAAAAAAATGTGTTTCTAAAAGCATATTGAAGTTACAGGTTATGATTTGGTCTTACTGGAAGACATCAATACAGAATTCACTTTCTAACTAAATGAGCATCTGGATGGATTTTGTGATGCAGCCTTTAGACTTTCTATTCTAGCCAATAATGGAATATCAAAGTTCAAATTTCCTCAAGGATATTCCATTTTATCTAGAGTTCCATTTTATTTATTCTCCCATCAGATTCTTGACTCACCTTCATAATATCACTACTAATTTTAAAATACACTAAATTCTCACAACTTTGGAAAAATGGAAGAAGGCCAAGGATAAAGTAATGAAATGTTTAAACTCATTTTGAAAAGACTTTTAATTTCAAGTATAAGACAAGCATGTTATGAACTGAGACAGCATAAACAAATACTACAATGCAAGTTATCCAATTGTGAAAATTTTATTATTCTGCATTAATCCAACCACATAGGGCACATCATAAATGTTATAAGAACTAACAGTAGAGTTTAATGGTAGGAACGCATAGACAAGATTATTTCCAATGAACCCTTGGCTTGAAACCTACTCTTTCTTTAATGATACTCTTATATTGGACATGGCTTTAGTAATTCAGAAATGAAATAATTACTAATGTTTTATTTAATAAAGAAGTTTATTGTATCAATTTTTGGTTGGGATTAGTGGGGGTAATAATTATAGAATTGTTGCTTCAAAAAGGGACGGTGTAGGTTATCTCTGCTCTAATTAAAGTCTTAGCAAGGCAAAATGGTATCAGAATCCCAGGGTCTAGGAAGGTTCTAGAGAATGATGTCAGAAATAACGTGAAGCTTGTGGTCAATGTCTGAGTGCCCTAGAGGAGCCTAGGTCACTCTTGAGAATTAATCTTTGTACTTTTCAATTAGCAGAATGCATGACTGCTAATCAAATATGATGACACCTCCCAGCCCTGCCTAGCAATTAGGTGACACATGTTTCATGACAGAAGAAAGATTGTGTTTTGATGACAGTTCAGGAGTCGTACCTGATGAGAGTTTTATTGAGTCAAGGTCCCAGTCTGGGCAGGAAGGTATTTGGAACTAAGAGAGAAGACTGGACTTTACAGCTGCCTCCTCAATCTTCACAGACCACTGTGTGTGACATATTTTACTTACCAACTTTCCTCTCTAGTATTAGAGGAATTCCAAGGCAAGGGTAGTAGCATATTTGTCATAGAGAGGCAAAGAAACAAAATATCTAAGAGCACAAGCTCTATGGTCACACTGCTGAGATTTACATTTTGCTCTATTGTTTACTAGCTAGGTGACCTTATTTAAGTTATGAAATCTTTCTGTGCCTACTTTCTCAACTGTAAAGTCTAGATAATTATAGTATTATCACATGGGTTGTTATAAATATTAAGCAAATAAATATACTGAGAGACTAGAAATGAATCCTATTAGCAATCAGACCACAGAATATCAACACAATATTTGCAACCCATCAGTCCCAAACCCCCCAGGCCTCAATCTATTAGGAACTGGGGTACACAGTAGAAGGTAAGCAGCAGGGAACAAAAAAGGCTTCATCTGTATTCTTCAACTTCTCCCCATCTCTCAGATAACTTCCTGAGCTCTGCCTCCTGTCAGATAAGCAGTGGCACTAGATTCTCATAGGAGCACAAACCCTACTATAAGTTATGCACACAAAAAATCTAGGTTGCCTGATACTTATGAGAATCTAATGTCTGATGATTTGAGGTTGAAATGTCCCAGCCTATGGGAAAATTGCCTTCCATGAAACTGATCTCTGGTGCCAAAAAGGTTGGGGACTACTATTCTTTTTTTTTTTTTTTTGAGACAGAGCCTCAAGCTGTCCCCCTGGGTAGAGTGCCGTGGCATTACAGCTCATAGCAACCTCCAACTCCTGGGCTCAAGCGAGTCTCCTGCCTCTGCCTCCCAAGTAGCTGGGACCACAGGCGCCCGCCACAACGCCCGGCTATTTTTTGGTTGCAGCCATCATTGTTGTTTGGCAGGTCCGGGCTGGGGATTTGAACCCGCCACCTTAGGTGTACGTGGCTGGCGCCTTAGCCGGTTGAGCTATAGGCGCCGAGCCGGGGACTACTATTCTAACAGACCATACCATAGGCCACACACCACTACAACAAAATGACTAATAAATCTGAGTGATTGCTTCTTTCTTAGCAAAATCATTCTCACTCTCATTTTGTTCTAGTCTCCAGAACAAAGATAATTGAGAAGTCCAGTTGCTGATCCGCCCTTGCTTCTTGATAGTATTCATTCCAAAACAAGTCCTTGCTTCCCTGATGACACCTTAAAGTTACCCAAATCTTGTAACAACCCCCCCAATCCGTCTTAGAGAAATTTCCTCAGGCATGTGCTAGCTCTTGCTACAATAAGATAATCAAACTTAAATTTGTGTTAGTTCAGACGTTCTCCTGGTGGTCTTTGGCTGATAGGATTTCACAATACTGAACACATAACTATATGCATACCATATGCACAAGAAATGTCAGCTATTGGCAGTAGGATGAAAATATTTTTATTCTCAGCTTCTTGCTTGTAACATATCTCAAGACATGTTTGATCAATGATAGTGGATTCTTAAGTAATTAGGAAGCTATGAAGCATAGCTAGATGAAGAGATGTAGATTTTTCTCCAAGGTCCAAAGTGCTATTAAGATGTGTCTAAGGTGTGGACAGGCATGTGTAATCCTAGCCCTCTGGGACTCACACTTGTAACCCTACCACTCTGGGAAGCCGAGGTAGGCAGACTGCTTGAGCTTAGGAGTTTGAGACCAGCCTGAGCAAGAGTGAGACCCCCCATCTCTACTAAAAATTAGCCAGGCATTATGGTGGGTGCCAGTAGTTCCAACGACTCTGGAAGCTGAGGCAAGTAGATTGCTTGAGCCTAACAGTTTAAGGTTGCTGTGAGCTGTGATGCCACAGTACTCTACCAAGAGCAACACAGTGAGACTCTGTTTCCAAAAAAAAAAAAAAAAGTGTGTAAGGTAACTGCAACAGCAATGGGTGGAATGAAACAAACACTTCAAGTCCACTGAAGTCCAAGTAATAGCCAGGTATTATATATTGCCTAGACCTTGTAAACCAGGCTAGCCAGGTAGCTAATAAAAGGAGAGGGTAGAAACAGCTAAACTTAGGTTCTTATTGATATTTCCAAATTCTTATAAATGCCCATTTGACAAATAAGGAAATAGACCTTTGAGTAGTAGATAGAATAGTCACATACATGGCTATTAGGCTTTATCTAATAAAGGAACCCAGGACAGGGTTTATTTGTATAGAATGTGTATTAGCTCACTATTGCTGCATCACAAATCACCCTAAAACTTAGTGACTCAAACAACACGGATCATTTATTTTTTCTGGCAATTATGCCTCATCAGGAACCCATGAGTTGCTTGGCTGGGTGAATCGGATTTAAGGACTTTCATCAATTGCAGTCATCTGAAGAGTTCCTGGGGCTGATGGCTCCAAGTTCTAGATGGCTCTGTCATGGCTGGCAAGTTGGTTTGTCTTTAGATGGGCCTTTCTGCAGAGCTGTTTGCGTATGCAGGATATGAAGTCTGGTTTTCTCTACATAAGTTAACCAGTATGTAGCAATACGGTTTTATAACCCGGTGCTGGAAACCACACATCGCCACTTTGACCATATTCTATTGTTAACACATGCCAGCCCTGTTTCAGTGCCAACCCTGCCCATCTGTCAGCTCTGTTGTTTTGGACCAGCACCTAAATTTGGAGTCTCTATTCCTTCATTTATATGTAAAAATAACTGCTTCTTTTTATGACTGTCTTAAGGATTAACCAAAGTAAGATTAATAAACGCAGTTTAGCATGAGTTGCCCCGCAGTTGGTACTAATTTATATATTATTTTCCTTCCCCTAGCCTCCTCAGGAAGCCTATGCTTATTCTTCCAAAGTTTAAACTGTCAACATCCCTTTTGCTTCTACCTCCGGAAAGGAGAGTCGATCCCAACCCATACTACCTACCAGAAGTCGGATCAAACTAGAACTATTGTGAAGGCAGAACTCTAGTTCCGGAGTGTCGATGCCAGTGCCCGGAACTTATTGCAATACGGACCGGAAGTGACGCTAATGACTCTTTCCGTCGCAGAGGGCATCGTGGAGGACTGCCAGAGCGACGGTTCCCCAAGGGGGTCCAGCGACCGCGTGGCGGTGGAGTGGGGACGCTCTCAAAGTAGAGCGGCGGGGCGCCCGGAGGTGTCGCAAGCCGAGCCCTCCCCAGCTACTCCATGCCAGGTTGGAGGCTGCTAACGCAGGCGGGCGCCCAGGTGCTGGGTCGCTGCTCGGGCGGCGTGAGTGCTGCCCGGGGCTCGGGGAACAGGTGGGTGTGGGCAAGAGAAGGGGCGCAGGAGTGAGCCCTTGCTTGGGCCGGCCCCGAGACCACCCTCTAGTCTCTGGCGTGTAAAAGGAAGGGTCTCTGCCCGGTCGTGGAGCACAGAATAAGGACCCTTAACCTAATCACCAATCCCTTAGGTCCTAAGAGTTTAAAGGGCTGATTTTTTAAAAAATGTCTATGAGCCACTGGCTATCAGCGAACGTTATCAACAGCTGTAATAACATTTTCCAACTAGCGTTTATTTGTACTAGACGCTTTGTTAAGTGGCACCTTATTTCATGTAGCCTCTCGCGAGCAAACTGCTATATGAGGTTTATAGGTAAAACTAAAGCTTAGGGAGGGAAAATGACTTGCCTAAAGTCGCTCAGCTAATAAAGTGGAAAATAGGGACTCTAATCTGCATCTGCCTGATTACAAAAGGAAAATAGACGGCAGAAAGTTTTATTTCTATGGTGACCCTCCTGCAAAATTACACACACCCCTGCTTCTTGGCCTCCAGCTACGAAGGTCTTTTTTGATGTGAGCCCTTTAGAGGTCATGTCTTTCGTGGCTCTTTAAACTTTGCGCAGCCAGTTTCTTCACTTCTCTGAGCCTAGCCTAGATCGTGTTATTGCAGAGAGAAGGTGAGCTTGTCTGACAAACATCAGCATGCCACATTCTGCCAGGGCCACTGGATATAAAGCTATTAAAATACACATTTAGATGTGTAGTAGCTTCCCATATATTTCAGTCTGTTAGGAGTCTGATTATCTGAGAGGAGAAGATGAAGAACTTTTTCTCCAGAGTAAACATTGATACTTGAAGTGTACGCCATATTATCATCATAAGGAATGTCAGGAAAAAAACTTCTGTGGGTCCAAACCCTGATTATACCTTCCAACACATGTGACTTCCCTTTCCTACGTTTTTCATGGGAGGACCTTTTGAATTACGGTTTGGTTTATTTTTTATTTTTACAGAACAGACATCTGGCTTTTTGTTAGAAGTCTCCATGGCAAGAGTGCTACTTGGTGGGATGAGCATCTTTCTGAAGAAAATGTCCCATTTATTAAGCAGTTGGTCTCTGATGAAGATAAAGCCCAGTTAGCAAGTAAACTGTGTCCTCTGAAAGATGAACCATGGCCTATACATCCTTGGGAACCAGGTGATTATTTTGTATTTGAGGAGTTCTCTTACTTGAAGCACATTCAAAATCATAGCAACTGCTTGATAAATTTATCATCTCTTAAATTTATTTTTCATGTCTTCATTGTGTCTGTTTTGGTTTGGTTTGCAAGTTTATTTTCAGCTCCCTAGCCTATTTTTAGTGAATGTCTGATGATGATAAAGCCCTCTGTGTTTCCTTCAGCTAAAAAGGAGGTAAAATACATCAAGGAAGAAAGGTTGGAAGATTACAATGTGAATTATAATGTGTTTTGCATGGATGTTTTCAGAATAATAGTTTCCTATTATTCCTGTTGAGTGTGTGGTCTTTAATTAGGGTTTATTGTGGCAATTGTATAGTGGCCAAAAGTTCTTAGTGGAGCAGCTTTACCAGTTTGTACAATAAATCTTAAGTATCATGTTGGAGACTGATGTATTTTAGCAGTATGACCATTTGTAGCATCTCTGTTGCTCCACCTGTCTTCTTAGATTTGGAGTGATAGATATTTTCTAATGAGTAAAGCTGGATATGAATGAATACTAGGGAAACATAATGATGGGTTTATCTTGCTCTCTATTAATGCCTTTATTTTAAATGTTAATATAGCAACTTACATATTTTCTTTGTTTTGTACCTTTCTCATATTTGTTGAATTTGCAAATAATTTATTGAGTACCAATATATAATGCAAGGCATGGTTGAAGCCTTGCCTTGCCTTGCCTTGCCCATAATGATGGGTTTATCTTGCTCTCTATTAATGCCTTTATTTTAAACGTTAATATAGCAGCTTACATATTTTCTTTGTTTTGTACCTTTCTCATATTTGTTGAATTTGCAAATAATTTATTGAGTACCAATATATAATGCAAGGCATGGTTGAAGCCACATAATATCTCTAAGGAACAGTCTTGTTTTACTCTATGGATATATTAGCATATTTCTTACATGCCTGCTCCTTATATTGAAACTGAATTATAGGAAAGATTGTTAAATCATGTTGTCAAATGTTGAAAAAGCTTTTGTTACTGTTGACTTGATTTTAATTGCCAGGTTCCTCTAGAGTTGGCCTTATTGCCTTGAAGCTGGGCATGATGCCTCTGTGGACCAAAGATGGTCAAAAGCATGTGGTCACGTTACTTCAGGTAAGGAAAAAATGGACTGTGTAAAAAATAGGTATGTGTGCCAAGATCTATTTGTGCAAACTTTAATTGGCAATGTATATATCCCAAAGCATGTAAATGCATGGTGAAAAAGGCAGTGTCAAACATAAATAATATTAAAGAACTTCTGATGGTTTTAAGAATGTTCTGAATCTTGCCTAATTGGTGGCCTTCTGATATTAGAATAACTGGGGCAATGAGTTCAAAAAAAGAAGTATAACTTAACATTTCACAGATCTACTTGTTTAATTCATAATCAGAAAAAATCTCAATCTCATTTTCATTTATGGAGTTCTTTCAACTCCAAATTATATTTTTGATTATTTTACTAATAGAATGTAATACAGTCTTGTCTGGGCAGGCTGCATTTTGTTCGCTAAAATAAGGTATACTGTTATGATTAAGAATGTGGACCCTGAGACCAGAATCTATGAGTTTTAGTCATGGTTCTGTAACTTACTGGCTGTGTCCCTTGGGGCACTGTGCCTCATCTGTACAAAGATATAATTTTATTCTATAAAAGAAATAAAACCCTATCTCAAAGGGTTATTGTGAGAGTGCACAAAGTGACAGATGTTAGGCATTTAAAACAATATTAAATGATAACTATTAGCTTCTGTTGTCTTTATCATTAGAAAGATCACTGATAAAATTAGGAGACCATCACTTCCCAAATCACTTTGGACAAGTCAATCTTGGGGCCTCATTTTAAACAACTGGTTATATAGGTGATGATGATTAAAGTAAAAGTTCATGCACATAAATGCTTAGAAATCTAATAAGGCGCAGAGAATTTGCAAACCTTTAGTGAATTTTTACTGGCTCTGAATGATTGCATATGGGACAGTAGTTTCAAGAACTGAGCAAGCTTTCAGGAACAGCTGATGGGATTGTAAATTGGTACAACCGTTTCAGAAAACAATTGAGCATTATGTGGTGAAGCTGAAATAGCTGAACCCTGTAGTCTAGCAGTTCCACTCCTAAGTATTGCTAGAAAGCACCAGGATTCCTGTATACTAGCATTTAGAGCACCATCACAGTTAATACACCAAAACTGGAAATAACCCAAATGTCTATAAATGAATTGTGGTATATTTATGTCATGAAAGGCTATACGACAATGAAAATTTACAAAGCAGAGCTACACACAGTACAGATGAACCCTTCAAATACAGTGCTTAGTGAAAGAAGTTAGACTTGGAAGAGTACATTACAACCTGATTCCACAGATGTAAAGTTTAAAGCAGGCAGTATAATACATTATTAAACCAATACTTTCAAAGGTAGTTATTATTAAAAAAAAATATGAGCATGTAAACGTGAAACATGTGAACGTGAAAAGGAGTGATTCTCAAACTTTATTTAGCCTTGTAATCATCTGGAGGGCTATAAAACACAAAGATTCTGATTCAGTAGCTCTGGATTGGGGCCTGGGAATCTGCATTTTTACCAAGTTCCCAAGGGATGCTTGTCTGGGGACCACACTTTGAGAACTCGTGTTCTAACGTAAAAACATGGATTGGAAAAACACATAGAGGCTCGTGCAGTTCTATTTCTTGGTCTGGATAGTGGTAGTGTGCATATTTTCTTTACAAAAATTCATTTTGTTACATATTTTATGTTTTGTGTACTTTTTTGTATTTGGTTTTTTTTAAGGTTTATTTATTTTGCAGTTTTTGGCCAGGGCTGGGTTTGAACCCACCACCTCTGGTATATGAGGCCTGCACCCTACTCCTTGAGCCACAGGCACCACCCTAAGGATTTATTTATATACAGTAGAGCCTCCACAGTTCACCACCTCCTTAAGTGGACTTAATTTTCATCGACCAGACATGCACCACATATATGTATCAGTACTAGGCCTAGTTCCTTCTGTCGACCACCTCTGAATGTTGACAAGTTTGTTACAGGTCGCTTGGGTGGCAACTTATAGAGGCTCTACTGTATTTTAAGAGTGTGGTTGCTTTTCGAGGGATGGTATTAAGACTTTAGAGAATTCCTAATTGTCCCAGGGTTTTAAGTGGCTTGTGTGTAGTGTTAAAATATATCTTGGCACATGCTTACTTTTTTTGTGTTTGCTTGTTCAGGTACAAGACTGTCATGTTTTAAAATACACTTCAAAGGAAAGCCATAATGGAAAAATGGCAGCCCTACACGTAGGAGGAAAAACCGTATCACGTTTCCATGTAAGGATGTATTCTCATTGGTTTCAGATCTGAATGCTTTTATGTTTTGAGAATATTCCACAGCCACAAACTTGCGTTTGTCTATGTAGTAAATTGTATATTTGGGAGCAGCCGTCTAGCTGAGCCATTTTGCACAGGAGAATAAAAGACTTAGTTTGTTATGGTACCTCCCCTTGCGTCTGTAACAAGTAACTTTGCCTCTTTTAAGTTATAGCGTTTTTAACATCTATAAAATAGAATAAAAATACTACTTACTTATTAGGTTTATCACAGGATGAAATAAGGTTTTCCAGGTAGGCCCAGAATGTAATACACTCAGTACATTTCCTTATTTTGTTACTGTTTTATATTTCATTTTGCTATCTTCCTATAGAAAATTATCTTAGCACTTCACACTGATGGCATGTATAGATTAATTTTAGGTGTTCTTGAAGGAGCTTTCAGTACTTGGGAAAAAAGCAGAATATAAACCTACATCAGATTTTTTTAATGAAGCATTTTTTTCCTAAGTAGAATTAGAATGCTGAGTTTGTAGCTTAAATTTAAAAAAAAAAAAAGGTCTAATAAGTGACCTCTATTAGATGACTAAAAATAGAGAAAATCTTACAAATAGTAATGGTTTTTACTAGTGAGCAGCAAAACATGTTTAAGTTTATTAGAACTTAGCACTTATCCCTAAGGCAGACTTTTTTTTCATTAAAAATTGTTTAAAATGAATATGGCCAGAAATTAGCATAGTTGATATACTGTCCAGCTGTCAAAACTCCCAAGTATTGTGTACCTGCTAATTACTTGAACATTTATTTCACACTGGGTACCTAAGCATTAATCCTTTTGCATTTAATATCTTATGTAACCTTTTTAGCCTCTAAGGTTAAAGCAGTTTAGTAAATCACTTTAGGCTACTCACTCATAAGAGGTAGTAAGACTCTAGACCCTTGGTTTCTTAACTGTGTCTTGGTATCTACCCTTTGGGAACTAGTAGGCTAGTGAGCAAGATAGACAAATAAGCCATACCAATACAGTATTGTATAAATCCAAGAAAACAGAACCAGAAATGGCCACTTTGCTTGAGAAAACCCTAGGTGGCTTCACAAGCAGGAGACCAGAAAGGGAAATAGATGTTAAAGACATGGCAGAGAGAATGGTCTCTGCAGAAACAGAAACTCGCGAAAGAGCATGCGTGCTTGGGAAGCAAAATGTGATGTGGGTGTGTGTCAGCATGCAGGCCTGGGCCAGTGGATGAAGAGGCAACTGTCAAGGTAGAGTGCAGATGAGTTCAGACTTCATCCAGTAGACTTTGAGGAGCTTTCTGAACTCTTTAACCGGTGCGGTAACTTGTTTAAATTGTTATCTTGGTTAACTAAAATTAGAAAAGTGATTGAGGGAGGGCTTTTTAGGAGGTGGTTTTAAGCAAGTAGGGAAAGGTCGGTAAACCTTTTGAACCAAGGCACTGGGGCTGGAGGTGCAGGGAATTGTAACAGACTGGGTGAGTTTGAGTGTATGGTGAGAGGACACAGGCATGTGGTTCCTAACTAAGCAACTGGATCAGCGTTGTTACTGTAACCTGGGATGGGGCAAGGAAAGGGAAGTTTTGAAGAAAAGATGTGTTTGAAGTGTTTGTTCATAGAAAATCCAGCTGTATTTGTCCCATCAGTAGTGGGAAATACTGATCAGTCAATAGGTGGTGGTTGAAATGGTTGGAGTCTATTAAAGTGGCTTGTTTCATAGGTATTAGAGAAGTTAGCTATTTTTGCATACATAAGTAGCATAGTCCATTTATTCTTCATTAAAGATTTGTAGGAGTATCTGTCCTGCTATTCTTATAGTTCATTTATTAACATACTCAATTTCAAGTAACTCTACAATAATTAAAAGCACAATGAGATATTTATGAGAACTATAAAAAAATATAAAAGTTTGAATTTTTTGAATGTGTAAATATGTACTAGTCTTTATGTGAATAATTCTTTGATAGATGCCACTATTTTCTAATTGATTATACTTCTGTGTTTTTTATTATAACTAGCACCAAATTCATAACTTTATGCCCTTGACATATGTAAATAAAGTGTCATGTTGCAATAATCTATTCTGCTCCAATAGGTCTGTAAACATTACTTTCTCGGAAATATGAGGTAGTGGGAAAATAAATGGATATAAGGTCAAAATAGTTGGGTTCTAATCCTGATTTGTACCATTAGCTCCTGTTTACTCATCTTTTGAACATCATTTTCTTACCCAGAAGAACAGGGAATAGCACTTGATGGTCTCCAACTTACCTTTCAATTCCAAGAGTCTTATGTTGGGTGTGTGTATGTTTTGGTTCTCAAGAAAAAAACAAAAGTTCGAAAAATATGTGCTTGTTAACTCAATTTATTCTATTTTACTTAGTGGTAAAGATATGTTATAGTTAAGATTTTATAAAAATAATACTAATAGTATAACTAATGTAGTACTAATAATTAAAACATTACAGAAGTGATAGTACTTAACATACTTCTACACTTGATGCTGGTCTCCACATGTGTGGTTGCTACATACTTTTCTCTTTACCTTATTCTTGTAGCTTTATTCTCTTCAGAGGTTTTGCAGTGCAGCAGAGTGATTTGGATGCTATATTCTTACATTGTGGATTTTAACCCACTGAACTTACATAAACTTTAAAAATTATTCAGTTCTCTAACATGGTACTAAAAAGGTTCCTCTTACATGATTTCTTCAAGATTTAAATTTTCTAAGTCCAGAAGACAGTTATTGCAAATATTAAGAATAAGGCTTCCTCTTGCATATTATAGCTCTTGGGTGGGGAAACTGCAAATAGATTGATCATAGAGGATTATTTTTTAACAAGACCTATGAATGTAAAATTCCAAATAACCAAACATTTGGAAAAAATTGATTAAAACAGTTTTAATTACAATGGGTCTAGACTGTTAATTTTTTTTATCTGTAAGAAATTTATGCCTCTAAGAAATTAGACTATTTCACCTTTGCTATCTTGTATTATTATAAATAAAAACAGATGTGGTACATGGTGTTTTTGAATGAGGAGGTTAAGTGGCCTTGTAGTTGATTAAATCAATTCATCTTAGGAGCAGAGAAGCATTTTCATTGTGGGAAGGATAATTGTAGAGAACTTTGAAGAGGGAGAAAAGAATGCAACCTCATAGATGGGATTATCCAAGTGTGACAATGCTGTCAGTCTTTTAAATTGCTTTTTGAAATCATTATGAATTTGAGAGTTTAGAAAAGAGGGAAAAAGCCCACCTCTTTTACATAGTTTCTTGTTTAAACTCAACTTGAGCATTTGGTTTTTCTCATGACTGAGACCTAATTTTATAATACTTTGATTTTTTTTAAAAAAAATAAGCATTCAGTATTAGTGAAACTGGAAGGTAATCAAGTAGTAAATGTTGCCTTAGTCCTTCTTATGCTTCAGTCTAAAAGTTACTTGGGTCAAGATGCTTATTTGTCTGTTTTATATTACTAAAAAAAATGAAGGATTTTTCTCAGAAACTTCCTAGTATACTTTAAAGACTGGTATTTAAAAAATGCTATGCTTTATTAAGAATTTTATGAACGTTAAAAATCTGAAAATCCATTCTAAGCTGAATGTAGTACCTCAGGAAAATAATTTCAAGGAACCACACTGATAAATAAAAATGTTGTGTCCTTGTTGTGGACAAAGTATAATTGAAAAGGAAAAGCAAGGGCCTTGGGAGGAATGGTATTGGGTCTTAGTTTTAGATTTCAGTGTGTCGGAAGTGAAGCCATAGGAAACAGTTGGAATGAATTTATATTAGGACTTCTGGAGGAAATGATAGCTTCTTGACAGACCTTCATGAGATACAAAACAATCTGAGTGGACATCAGAGCAGAGCTTCTCAGTATTTGTCGTATAGCCCTGCTAGAGAACCTCAGGGAGATTAGAAAATCAGAGTTCTATGTTTGCAGGCCATTGCCACCCAATTTCAGGTCAACTAAAGAACATAGTTTCCCTACCCCTGGGAAGAGTGGTGTGCTGTGGCAAGGCTTTTCAGGGAGGGATCTGAGCAGGAATTATAACAGGAACTGCACTAGAGACATATATTTGTATTTCCTGATATGAAGAACTCCTGTTTATCAGAATATAACCAACACAGGTGTTCTTGCTATTTCCTCTTCCTCAGCTTTCCCTCAAGCCATAAATGAAACTTTGGTGGGGAGATTATAGGCAGAGAGAGTGGTGTAGACAGATGCAGGTAAGCATACAGAGAGGACCACAGGCATTGAGGTTCTTCATTTATATTCTGATGAAAGAGGTACTCTTCACATCTGGAAATAGAAAATGGTACAATGTTTTTGGCAAGTCATGTAACAGTCTACAAGAACCTTAGAATTAAGGTAGAAGGAAAAATAATTCTTCGTTTTATATGGAACCAGAAAAAAAAAAACCCGAATAGCTAAGGCAGTTCTTAGTTATAAAAACAAAGCTGGGGGCATCAGCCTACAGCCATAGTGATCAAAACAGCATGGTATTGGCACAAAAATAGAACCATAGACATCTGGAACTGAACAGAAAACCAGGAGATAAAACTAACATCTTACAGCTACCTACTCTTTGATAAACCAACCAAGAACACTGACTGGGGTGAAGAATCCCTGTTCAATAAATGGTGCTGGGAGAACTGGATATCCATGTGTAAAATACTGAAACTGGACCCACACCTCTCTCCACTTACAAAAATTGATTCAAGATGGATAAAATACCTAACTTTAAGGCATGAAACGATAAAAATCTTCAAGGAAAGCATGGGGAAAACCCTTCAAGATATGGGCCTGTGGTAAGACTGTATGAAGAATACTTCTGTGGCAATTGCAACAACAACAAAAATAAACAAATGGGACTTAATTAGACTGAAAAGTTTCTGTACAGCTAAGGAGACAACAAAGCAAATAGACAACCTACATAATAGGAAAGGATATTTGCATATTTTGAATCAGACAAAAGCTTGATAACTAGATCTACGGACAGATTAATCAACATGAAGAAGGCCAACAATCCCTTATGTCAATGGATAAGAGAGATGAATAGAACCTTCTCTGAAGTAGATGAATGGCTAACAAACATGAAAAAAACACTCATCATCCCTAATTATTAGAGAAATGCAAATCAAAACCACTCTGAGATACCATCTAACCACAGCAAGAATGGCCCATATCATAAAATCTCACAACTGCAGATGCTGGTGTGGATGTGGAGAGAAGGGAGCACTTTCCAGGGCTAGTTGGACTGCAAACTAACACCTTTTTGGAAGGAAGTATAGATTTCCCATTTGATCCTGCAATCCCATTACCCAGAAGGAAAAAAAAATCCTTTTACCTTAAGGCAGCGGTTCTCAACCTGTGGTTCATGACCCATAGGAACTGTATTAAAGGGTCACAGCATTAGGAAGGTTGAGAACCACTGCCATAAGGACACTTGCACTAGACTGTTTATTGCAGCTCAATTTACAATTGCCAAAATGTGGAAACACCTAAATGCTCACCAACCCAGGAATGGATTAACAAGCTGTAATACATGTATACCATGGAATACTATTCAGCCATTTAAAAAGATGGAGACTTTACATCTTTTGTATTAACCTGGATGGAAGTGGAACACATTCTTAGTAAAGCATCACAAGAATGGAGAAGCAAGAATCCTGTGTATTCAAATTTGATATGAGGACAATTAATGACCTAGTACACGGTGGGGGAGGGGAGAGGAGAGAGATGAAGGGGGTGGGGGGTCATGGTGTATGACACACCTTTTGTGGGCAGGACACAATTATAAAGAGGGATTTTACCCAGCAAATGTAATCAATGTAACCTTGTTCAAAAAACTGAATAAAAACTAGAAGGGGTAGAAGGAAATAAGATGTCTGATAGATTTTATTTTTAAGGACATTGGTTGTAGTTATTGTTACAATAGCAGAAAAAAAGACATGTGTGGGCATAAGAGCAGACAGCAGGACCTACCAAGAACAGGGAATATAGCAGCAACTAAAACAGATTTCTGCTTCTGCCTCAGGAAGCTTACATTTGGGTAGGCTTGGGGATGAGATGGGGAAGCTGTTGCATAGAAAATAAAACAATAAAAAATGTACATTATGACAGGAGGTGATAAGTGCTTTGAGGAATCAGAACAGGCTGAGGAGATATCTAATGGAGTCTGAATAATTTTGGGGAGTAAGTCATGCAAAAGTGTGAGAGAATAGCACTCCAGGCAGAGGAAAGAGTACATGCAAAGTTCCTGAGACTGATGTTTGTGTTCTTGAGCCAGAGGGAAGGTAGAGGATGAGTTCAGATTGCCTTGTAAACCTTGGCAAGGACTTAGAATTTAGGACTTTTTTCTGCTTGAGATAGAATATCATACAGCCTGAATTTTAAATGATCATGCCAGACTATGAACTGAGAACAGGGAGTCTGGGGTGTGGAAGGTTAGAGACTGGTTAGGAGGCTACTGGAATAATCCAGGCAAAAAGTGGTTGGGATTGGGGTGGAGGGGGAGAAAGTGGATGGTGTGGGCTGTATTTTTAAATAAACTATATGAATTACAGATGGATGGGATAGGAAGAGTCAAGGGTGACTGTAAGATTTTTGGTTTAAACAACTGAAGTGTGGAGTTACCTTTTGTTGAGATTTGGAGGCCAAGGGAAAGCAAGTTTGAGAGGGGTGGGGAGTTGAGTTCACTTTAGACATGTTAAGCTTGAGCCGCTGTGTGGCACTGAAGTGGAGATAATGAATTGGCCGAGTACAATGTGGAAAAGTTACAAGAATAGTACTAGAAGCCAGTTGAAAGTTTTTCAAGAAAAAAGCGGTCATCTATCTCAAGCATTGAGTATTGACTAGATCCAAGCAAATGAGTATTGACTAGTATACTTGACAATGTAGAGAATATTGCTGATTTTGACAAGTACTTTTCATTAAATGGTAGAAGCTAAAAGTACCTGATTAAAGTGGGTACAGGGAATGGGAAGAAAGAAAGTAGACTCAGAAAGTCTTTCAAGGAGCTTTGCTCTAAGGGAAAGCAGAAAATTTAGCTGAAGAATTTGGAGATCAGGGAAAAGTTTTGTTTCAATATGTGAGTTAATGTCACATGTTCTTATACTGATAGGAGAGTTCCAACAAAAGTGTAGCGATTGATGATTTTTAAAAGAATGAGACAGTTTTAGCAGGAAGGCCTTTGAATAGGTGAGAGACAAGTGGGAATCAGGGCTTTTACGAAGAGTTGGAACAGTTTATCTGTCAACGTGATTCCCACTCCCAGTTTGACCATTGGAATCATGAGGCGATTAAAAAAAATGCTAATGCTTGAGTCTCAGCCTAGACTAGTGAGATTATAATCTCCAAGCAGAGAGCCTGTCATTAGCAATTTCTAAAAGCTTCCCATGTGCTGTCATGTGTAACCTTGAATTTGATAGGAGTATAACAGTATATGGGTGCTGGTTATAGACAGTTTGATTGACTTGGTGATGAGAGCATGGAGTTCTCTTGATTTTTCTATTTGATCAGCTCAGATGGAAGCGGGCAAGCATTGCTGAAGGTTTTACGAGAGGGTATGATATAGTTGCCTTGGATAGTGTGAGAAGGATTTAACTGGAGAAGTGTAGGTTGGCCAGGCCACATTTGGGACTCCCTTTGAAGTTTGTAGTCATAACATTTAATTGTGACCCATCCTGCTTTCTTCCACTTGCTTTAGAAGTAAGTGCAGAGGAGGCAGAGAATGGGTTTCATGGGGTTGGGTTCTTGATGCAGTTCCCAGTCAGAATTGAAACATGAGTACAACTCTTTATTTCTTTTCCTCCAGAACAAACATCTTTCTTTCCCAGTGTAACACATTTGAAATACTATGTACATGGGTGGATCTTATTTGTTCATAGAGATGTAATGGATTATAGCTATAAATCTCATCTCTTAAATAAAGGGAATTAGGTGATCTTTATTCAGTAAGTGAATTGAGTGTGCTGTGATTCTTTTCTGGGGTGTTGGTAATTTGATTTAGATTTATGTGCATTTAACTCCCCCTTTATTTTTTAATGTATCAACTTATATGTACTGTTTTTCCTCTAGAAACCTCCATCTAGTTTGGAATTTTACCGAGAACTTGGATTACCGCCAAAACAGAAAGTTAAAATCTTTCATGTGACCGACAATGCTATAATTAAGCCAGGTAATCTGAGGTCGGGGAGAGGAGGGAGGTAAAAATACCCAAATATGTGATTTGTTTTAATGCCAGCCCCTTCAATAAAGCTGACTCTAAAATACAAAGCCCTAAACACTTATTTTTAAATATAAAACCGTATCTGATTTAATCACTAGGAACAAACAAGTCTTTGTCCTTTTTAAGTGGAAAAAGCTGGAGAGAACTCTTTGTTTTCCCTAAGAGAGGGAGGAACACTTTTGTTTTTGATGTAGGGAGATTTCCACATTTGAAAATTTTGAAATTCACTGTTTGCAGAAGAACTTGAGAAAATTCAAATTTCAAAACTACTTTTAATTTTATCTTATAGAAAGGCTCAATTAATAGATGCCTATTGCAACTGCATTTTACAACAAGAAATTCAGTTCAGATGTTAAAATGCCAAATCTTAAAACATTCTACTGTGTCCTTGTTCTCTGAGCTTCAAAGACATCAAAATGTTATATTTTGTGAACTAGATGAACCAATATAATCATACACCAGGTCTTACTATTTCACATTCCACGGATTAAGTAAAATATTTTGAAATTTTTAAATAAGAATTTTTGCTTCAAGATGCCAGGGTTGGTCACTCTGCTGTTTCAGGCTATTGTTTTCTCAAGTTCTTCTACCTAAATAAGAGTCTAACGATTAATTAATTAATTCTTATTTGATGATATTAATGTTGGTTCCTTACCAAGATAACACATTTCTTGAGATAAGGGGCCATGTCTTATACTTTTGCATTTCTAGCTGTACATATTTCTAAATACCTTATAAATATTTGTCAATTAATTGCCAAATGGTTCTTATAAATGTTAATTCCAAATTTATATAAATGAAACATTTTGGAGGGCTTGATTTATCACAGAATTTTAAATTCTTTTAAATAACATTTGGCTCCTGCTTATAATCCCAGTACTTTGGGAGCCAAGGCAGACAGATCGCTTAGGCCAGGAGTTTGAGACCAGCTTGGCAGCATAGTAAGACCAGGTCTTTATAAAAAAACTTTAAAAATTAGTCATATATGGTGGTGTGCACCTGTAGTCCTAGCTATTAGGCTGAGTCATTAGGATCCCTTGAGCCCAGGAGTTCACGGTTACAGTGAGCTATGATCATACCACTACACTCCAGCCTGCGTGACAGTGTGACCTTGTCTGACAAACAAAAAAAGTAAAAAACTTGTTTCCAAAGTATATTTAAAGTAACAGTTTATTTATTATACAACTAGTTTTATAAATGTTTCTATGTAAAATTAAAGGTATCTATAATGGCTTTTTTTTTTTTTACTTTTTCAAGTATCTATGCACATGTGAGGAGAACTATTAAATTGGTGCAATGACTAGTTCACTAAAAATCTGATATTGCATGGACTTTGCATGGATATCGTACATAGGATGATCATTACCCCACAAATGAGAGACTTAAGTTCAAGTAATTAAATTTCCTGTTTCTCATAAATGTATATAAATACTAGATCAATACTCAATATTTTTACAGTTATTCCTTTGTTTTTGTTTTCCTTATGTGAGTAGGAAATATATCTTAATTCAGTAGATGATTATTCACTAAAACAACCAGAATCATCAAACTTGTGTGTTTACCACAAGTCACTAGAGTAACTTATTTCAACTGGCACCACTTGGTGTTTGCGAAGGCACCAATCCACCAGGTGAGTGTGGTCTGGAGGCTCCTCTAGCAGCATGTGCACCATACTGGGCCACATTGGTCTTCAGTCCATGCACGGACAGTTACAAGATACATTTGTTGAATAATTTTCATTGTTTGAATGTTTCTAATGTTTATAATTACAGAGAGAAATCTACCAGTTGTGAAATCTGATAGCTAGAAGCCTTCCTGGATATAGTTCAATTTACTGAAGTTGCTTCTGTGCTGACAGATTTAATGTTGATTTTTTTTGTTTGTTTTTCATCAAGGCACTCCTCTTTATGCTGCTCACTTTCGTCCAGGACAGTATGTGGACGTCACAGCCAAAACGTAAGTCCTCTTGACAGGTTCTCTTTTCCTTGTGTTTCCCATCTGTTCAGAACAGTGAAGAGGAACAGTCTTTCAAGTCAGTGAATAAAGGATAAGTGCAGTTACTAACTGTACTGGTTTTAAAATTGCACTAAATTAGTTGTATGTGAAGAGTTCACATCAGGTTATAGCTATTAAACTGACATATGTGCTTCTTGAAATGGGGCTGAGAGAAAAGTCACTTTACTTAGGTACTTTGTGAATTGGCCCTTTGAAGACCAAAGACAACAAAGTTTGATGGAGATATTTAGATCTTTGGGAAATAGTTTTTCAGAAATTACTGTAAGTCACCTCACTGTGAAATGAAGTAAGCAAGCCCTTATATATGTTAATTTAGAAACTCTTCATTGTAGTTTGTTGGGATCCACATGACCTAAACTAAACAAAATTCCAGTTATCAGCAATTTTCCATTCCTATAGTTCTCTCAAAATAGGTGATAATTTCATTTCTCTTTGTGCCTCAGTTTTCTCCTTTTTGTCACATGACATTGTATGCCAGGATTATCCTGACTAGTAGCTCTTTGGAAAAAACACTTGTCCATAGGTATTGGAGGATGGTCTTAGGATCATAGTGACAGAGCCACAGCAGCTTCTGTTCAAGGAAACCAGATGAGTGCCAGCATCACTTTCCTTCACGCAGTCAGATACATTCCATGTTTCTCCCCAGGGTCAAATATAGGCCATTACAAAAGCTGTTAGATGTATTAATACCTTTGTTTAGCTATTTAGAAATGAAGTGGCATGGATTGATGATAGAGTGAGTCCTCTCTATAGGAGAGATGAAGAACCTGGCCCTTTTTTTCCACCTGATTTCTGATTGTCAAGGATTTGTCCTAGGTTTCCAAGGTCCCCAAAATTCCTTATTTCTTGGTAACTATGTTTGTTTTGCTTTCTTTTCTGAAGAACTCAAAATATTGGAGCTCTAAATCTTTGGTTTGGTTAGTTGATGAAGTGTGTGTGTTGTAAATCATTATTATTTCACTATTTAACTTCTAAATTATTATACATAATAAAATACCTCACAGTAATTCTGTTAATTTACACATGGTTAATATTGAGTAAATTCCATTATATATTTTATAAGAATATATGCAATATTCTGAGAAGCTATGCAAGTCCTAGGCTTTGTTAGCAGAGGCCTTGGGACAGGACTTCTGACTAGATTAGAGCTGAGTTTTTCAAGTGCCTATATTCAGTAAATGCTTTTATCACATATGCTGCTGTTTGGTTTCCTTGGCTTCTTAAAAGTGATTTTTTAAGACCTCAACCTTCTTGTTAGTATAAGGTGAAAGGGAAAGTTTTTTTTGTTTTGTTAGGTCATGTTCCCAGAAAACAAGATTTCGTAAACCTGTGTGCCAGCAGAGCACTTAAATAGCTATGTAAACAAAAAGAATTACTAGCCCTGGGATACAAAATAGTGACAGTCAACTCTGGAGAAGAGGGGAGGACCTCCATTTGAGATGATCACCACTGCTGTATGGACTGCAGTACAGTATTCTTTTGACTTTTTACCATGGAACAGTGGGGAGGGTGTTACCCTTGTGTGTGCACTGTATTCTGGTGTGCATACCTTCATGTGGTATTATTTGATCAGAATGTTGGACCTTATCTGACCTTTTGCTAAATGTTACAATGAGTATGGCTCTTGTAGCTGCATGTAATTATGACTGTAAGACACTTTTAAGTGCTTGTGGATTTATAGGGCTCTTTGTCTTTATTGTGTAAAGCTGTTTTGAATTTCCTCCGAGGGGAGCATTGGGTTCTTAGCAGCATGTAGTCCTCGTTGCTGCTGCCTCTTCTTTTTGCCACTGACTTCCCTGGGTTGTGACGTGTGTGCACGTGCACACATGCACACATGCATGTACACGCGTTTCCTTTCTTTTTCCTTTTTAAATTCTTCTGTCTCCTTTCCCTGATGTTTCTCGTTTTGGAGGCAGTTCCACTTGCTTGGAATTTAAGACCTTTGCAGCCAATGAGAATGTTCTTTTCTATATTAACTAAATGAAACCACCACTTTCCAGCTAGGTACTGACTCTGAGTCCTCTCAGTCTCGTACCACTCTCTCTCACTGCCGGAGATGTGTTTTCCTTTTCCTCCATTTTCATCCTGTTTTAAAATGTTGAAACTTCTGGGTTTCATCTTCTTGTTTATTAATCCTGTTACAAGGGCAAACACTAGAGAAAAAAACAGTGTGGTGCGCTGGTTAAGGGAGTGAGGCAGGACCTGGGATTCACAGGCTGTAGCAGCGGCTCTCATGTTTGAGTGTGCTGTAGAGTCTGCTGCAGGGTTTGTAAAACCAATTGGCAGGCCCAATCACAGAACTTCTGATTCTCTAGGTCTGAGGTAGTATTTGAGAATTTGTATTTCTAGGAAATTCTCAAGTGATAGAGATGCTGCTGCTCTGGGAACATACTTTGAGAACCACTGAACTGGAAAATAGGAGCTTATCAGATTAAAGAATTTTTCCTCCCTACTGCTCTACCCAGCACAGAATTGAGACTCCCTTTCATTCCTTAACCTTGATTGAGTTACAGCATGTGGACATCTGTTTTAAAGCAAGCAGATTTAATGGATGCAATTAAAATAGCATTGCCAATAAAAGTGGTCCTGTTTTTAGTTAGCATAAAACTGAAAATTGATTATGTTTAGTAATGGGCTTCATTATCTTCTTTCCATTAGAAAAAAGAAAAATCTCAAATTAATCTCTAATTTCCTTATATTTCTCATGTTAGAATAATTACATTTTAATTGTTAATTTATATATGTTTTGTACTATATTTCAGGTTTTTCTTACCTTATACATTCAGTTTTAATTGCAGAGCTAAACATACTTTAGAAATAACTAAAATGTTTAAAAGCAAAAAACACTGTTTACTTTACAAAAATGCAGTGTTAATAGAATCTACCTTAGCAGTAAAATTATAGATATTTTCTAAAAAGTGAGTAGTAACCAAGAATAACAGCCTCATCTTGAAAACATCCTTAAATTTTTTTGTGTTCCTTCTTTAACAGTTGCAATAGAAAATCTGCTTACAGGAAAGCTACATTATGTTTATGTGTACCAAATTAGATTATAATTTTCTACATAAATAGGTAAGTTTATCGACATTAGTTTAGGGCGCAAGGTGAATACTTACCACAGTTCTTTTAATATTTACTTTTATACCAGAAATAGCTTTTTTTTTTATCTGAAGGTTCTAAGAATACAAATTCTTTTTAGATGGTATGGGAAAGATTTTTATATCTAAATGCATAAAACCATCTAGCAGAATAGTTTTACATAGTTTCATTATGTTATTAATATGTAATAAAGCCCGGTCTTTGAAATATGGCAATTTCATGTAATTCATTTTAATAAAAATTTTAAACTAACATGGCTCTCCTCCATACCCTAGAACATTTCTAAAGTTTGTATTCTTGTTCTGTTCTAATAATCATATTCCATTGTAACTTCTAAAAGATGATGGTTTGGTCTCAATATTAAGTAGCTAATAGATGATGTATAAATATAAATAATAGATGAGATGAGGTATGGCCATTGATTCTGTCCTCATCATAGGATGGTTAGCCCATTTTTTTTTTCCTGTTAAATCCTAGCAGTTCTTATTATATAATCTGTAGTTGAAAAAAAAAACTTGAGAAAAGAATGAAACAAAGAACAAAAAGAAAACTAAAAATGATTCTGCTGTGTTTAGGAGGAAATATTAGGTCTCTTTCTTAGGGAATTTGAAAGATAGAGATGATGGAGATGCATCCGTAACAGTGGGCATGGTGGCACTTTCCTATCTTCGTGAACTTGGAATACTTGACAGTAGCGTGACTGAAGTAGTTTTTTCCTCCTGGTTATCTGGAATGAGTGAATGAATGAATGAATTTAAATTTGAAAGTCTATGTTTGAAGTCAGAAGACTTCATGTACTTAAAAGAATTTTTTTTCTTTTTGGAAGAAAGATAATCTAAACTATTATCTACAAGCCTGGACTAATTAAAACAGCCCATATATTATTAGGCATAATTTTTATTAGTTCAGTAGCAATTTCAGGCATCTTATTACTTGAAAGTTGTCAGTGCCCTTTAAATTCTCCTTGCCTGTTGGTCTCAGAATAGAAAAATAGGCACTTATCTTTATAATGTTACCACTGGTAGTAAAAATTAAGGGATGTGGGGCGAGGGTGATTAGGGTAATTGATGGCGTACCTTCACTGACATTCAATTAGTTTGGGTTCTTTCGTTAGAGTATCAAATGTGTAAAGGCTTATAAAATGGTTAAGAAACTGGGTGGGTTCTCAAAAGAGTAAAGACTCTGGGCTCTATGCCTGGTCATTACGCTGTTCAGTGAATGGTACCTGCACACCATCAGAAACCCTCCCCACTGGTTCGTTCTTCTGGAAAGGAAGCAGTATGTCTTCAAGATACAGTTGCTGTCCAGTCCTATACACTTTCAATTTTATTTCATTTTTAATATTTAACTTTTTTTGCTAGTTACTGAAAGCATCCATTTTCAAGTATATTAGTGAAACAATTTTTAAAATGAGTGATTAGACTATACAGGGAAATCGCTGTAAAAAAAGTCTGTTAAATTAGTGAAGGTGAACATCTATTTTGGGGTTATATTCAGTTGTTTTATTGCATTAAAATTTTTTTTATAGTAGTCATCTATAATTGCCTCGCTGTTTAAACTCTACAAAGCAGCACTTTTTAAATCCAAGGTCAGCAAAATTAAAGCTATCAAAGGTAGAAGCTAAAAGCATGGGCTTCTCAGTAGCTCTGTAACCTAGACAGCTTTCTTAACCTCTTTGTGTATAGCCGTGTTAGAACAGATAATGCCTGAAACGCTCTTAACTCAAGGCCTGGCACATAATGTTCAGGAGTACTGGCTATCCTATTGTTGATATTGCTGCTTTTTAATTTGTTTAAATTTCAAAAGGAAAGATGTATGTTTTCTTTAATAGGAAATATTTT